AAACCTTCAAAATGTGAGCTAGTAATGACCATGTGCATGTCACATGTATGTATATATCTTGAGTGTGTATGCAAGCACATAAATACACATACATACACACATAAGGTGGAAAAGCAGATTAAAGGCAAAAATTTAATTGCAGAAAATTGGTGCCTGGGTGAATGTAGCTGGCATGAACATAATAATAACTTATTGCCAAAATGTTAAATGCTAGAACAGAATTAAAATAAACTAAGGATTGCAATTTTTTTTTCATTTTTTTAAACTCTACTCAAGGAGCAGAATTCTATTTAGAACTGAAAAGCAGTCTTCAGAATACTGTGAGGCAGCAAAGTAAAGCAGAGAGGCAAAAATAGGAGAGAAAGGGAAAGAAGGAGAGAGGTGGATGAGGGAATGCAGGAGAGAAGTAGGAAACAGAAAGAGAAGAGGAATGTAGAGCAGGGTGAAGGATCTGGTGACCATAATCTTATTTCCTAGACACAGATTACAAGTATTAAAGTGAACAATGAGCCACTTACTACAGTGTGGGTTTGAGAAAAACAACCTAACCTCTTTTTGTCTCTGTTTGTTTGTTTAAAGATGTCAGTGCTACCTTCTCTAGATTTCTGGCAGAGTTTAAGTGAGTTAATTCAAGGAAGGTGCTGGCATATGGGGAAGGTTGAACAGAATTTAGCAGTTATTACCACGATCAAAGAGAAATGAGACATGAAGGATACAGACAACTAGTGGGAGCTAGTGAATGCTGAGTCTCATCCAGGAGACAAAGCCTTCCAGCTCCTGGGAATAAAGCCTGTCAACCCAGGCAATGCATTGCAAGGAAATGGGATTTTTATCTCCTATAGTCAAAGTGAATGTGTAATGCCATCATTACCAAGTATTTGATTTTCATTTGTATTCCTTATGCTTCAATATTTTGTTCAAGTAGAGCAGCCCATCAAATCGGGGCCCAGAAATTGTAAACGCACCAGATAGGCAGCTTCTCTTGTTTTTAATGAGAAAACCAATTTTTCAAGCCTTGTTAGAATTGCCAAACAGAGTTTCCTGCTGGGCAAGCTTCATTTACTTGGCATCTCCTACTGAGAGACACCAGTACCATTCCCAGAATGGGGAGTCAAGAAGACAGGCAGCTGATTGAAAAAATACCAACTTGAATTTGGAATGTGTGTCTTCCAAAGGATAGAAAAGTATTGTTTGTAGGGGCATGGGGTAGTTACTTTTATTTTTTTTTAATGAGCTGTGCTTAAGAATTAAGCAAATCATTCCATTTATATACTTTGAAATGTTAAAAGTTAAACATTCAAATTTAAGAGATCCTGTCATAGCTAAGATCAGAATGACTGATTCAACTGCTGGGAACAGTGAGAAGGATCTTACCACTACTTCCTCTCTCTGTAGGAAAATGCTGAAATCCACTAGCAATGTCTGCAATGTACAAGGACTTAGGTAATACTGAACAACTTATCATTCTTTACCCTTATCTAGACCAATTTCCTAATGTTATAAATACTTTTAAATCCCCTACATTGTGATTTATACTATGTTCATTTATAAATTCCATTTTAGTACATGCAGATTTATTGAGATATGAAGATCTGAATATAAATAATAATGATTTATGTATTCTTGGCAAGCAATTGGATTTAGCTAAATAGCATTTATGAACTCTTGAACAATTTCATTTTTTGAACAGTTTAAACTGGATTTTCCCTATTCCTGCTTGTAACTTTGCTTTTAATCTTTGCTACCTAGAATATCTATTTTTTAATTAAAAAGTTGTTCTGATTCAAACACACTACATTGTGTAAGTACATTAGAAATTATAAAGAATTCAGAAATAAACAAACATAACGGTGTGTGTGATCAGTGTAATCAGCTTTCTAAGAGTTTTCACTTGAAGGGCAGTTTTTGTTTGTTTTATTGACTTCAAGGTTCATGGATTTTAGTTACTGTTTTTGTTGTTCTCTTAACACTAATACTAAAGATAATCATTTATGTATGTTCCAATGCTTTCAATTTTTCAAACACACTCCTTTATTAACCCTTTATGTTATAACTTCATATATTATAATTACATGTCATATTATATTAATTATACTACAGATCTTTATTACTATTATTACATTATTGCCACAGAGAATTTGGAATGTAAAGAGCTAAAATCAATTAAGTAACAAAAAGGAATTTCAATTTCTCTCTCTTCCTCCTTTGTCCTTCCTCCTTTCTTCCCCCTTGCTTTCTTTTCTTGAGAAGCAAATCCTGGATTGAGCAAACTAATGTCATCCTCATATCTAAAACTGCAACCTCTTACATTTTACCCACTAGTTCTGTCAAGACTGAAATTCCTGAACAGGAAACAGGTGTAAATCAAGTTGCAGATGGATGAATTCTAGACCAACAGCACAAGATTCTGAAGAATTGGAGTTAAGGAAGGTATGTCCCGAAGTAGAATCAGAGAAGACTCATGGAGAAGAGGAGAGATGGTGAAGGATTTCTCAAAGCAATAGTTTAGAAGTATAAAACCATTATCCTGAAATATATCAGACAAAGAGACTTCATAGAGTTCCTTGGAGTTAAGCAAACACACATAATTCAAAAACTATTTCTGATGCCTTGGGTTGTGGAGGTGTGTGATTTCTATCCACTGCAAGTGGTCCCACAGCAGATGCTGACCTCACTCTACCATACACTGTGGTTGCCAGTGACAGACTTAGATCACAATTCATTCTCTGCCATTTCTAAGATTAAAACTTCAGCATGTAACTACTTCTAGATATTTTCCTTCTTTTATTTTTCTGTCTTTTAATCTGCCTGCAAATAATAATGGTATCTTTAGCCTAGGGTTGGGATACCTAGACTAACATGTCTCTGGGTATTAGTCCTCCTCATTTCTGTCTGGCAGAAGCAAGTGTACAGATCAAGAGAAAAGAAAACATTGGATTTCCCTTAAGTAGGATGCAGACTATCAATGGGAGTTTCGTGCTGAAATTGAACTCTGTGTGTATGTGACACACGGTAGAACATTTCATCAATTTCTAACAGGGTACAGTTAGAGATTTAGGATAGATATTCAGAAAAGCCTGGGAGTGACTCCAAATTAAATCAACCTAGTGAATTGCTCAAGGCTTGTGATGCCTTCATCACAAAGGAAAAAAAATCACTCAAGGTCTTAGTAGTTTTCAGTTTCATTTTTCAGAAGTCAGTCCTTTAAACTTTTACTATAGCTTATTTAATGAGAGTAAGGCATATGCCAACATTTAATTATATAAAACACATATTTTATATGTATATGAACAGATATAATCCCTTTTAATATGTCCTATTTCCCAGAACATACATAATATCCTTTACATAGACACAATACAGTATGAAAATTTAGAGTTTAGATTTTATATATATATATATATATACATATATATATATATACACATATACACACATCTTTGAGACATCTTCACCTATGTCTGCATATATATATGGGTGTGTGTATGACATATATAAACACACATTTCTTTGTTACATCTATATCTATGTGTGATATATATATATATACATATATATACATATAAATGTATACACATGCACACACATACATACACACACATATAAATACATAAATACAAATACATCTTCTCTAAGTCTGTACTTATATCTATATATGTGTGTACATATGTAAATGCATTCATTTTTCCACATGCCAGTAGCAAATATATCCACTGTCTCAAAAATACTTTTTAACAAAGAGATCTTTGTATAATAGATGTGATAATAGTTAGGAGTCTCTGGAAGAACAGAGGTGATAGAATGATAATATATTACCAAAGTGATTGTAAAAGACTGACTTACATGATCCAAACTGGGTAAACCAGTAATGTCTGTCTACATGATGGAGAGGCTAAGAATCCAGTAACTGCTCAGTCCACAGGGCTGGATGCCTCCAAAGTCCCAATCTGCATTAAAATTCCCAAAGAATCCTATAGAGCTGCTGGTCCACGGTCCACATAGGCAAGCTATAGCAGCTGAGTGATAGCAGTACCAGCAGTAGAAGCAGAAACAATGCCAGTGAGGTAGACGCACTCACTGGTCAGAAGTAAAACCAGACAAGCAAGCAAGGCTGATTTTTCCTTGGACCTGGAAGGGTGTGTCTACTTTGAAAGAAAACGTTCTTCCCTCAGATAATCCTTCCTAAACATGCTTCACCAACCCTCCCAGAAGCATGTTTTGTGGTTAATTCAAGATCCAATCAAATTGACAGTGGAGATTCACCACTACAGGAGCTGAAAAGTTGGTTCAGCAGTTAAGATCACTTGTTTCTCTTGGACCCTTATTCCATTTCTACCACTCATATGGTGGCTCACAATTATCTGTAACTGCAATCCTAGGGGACTGACACCTTCTCCTGACTCCACAGGGACCATATGTGCATACATGTACATACATACCAGCAAAATACTCATATACATAAAGTAATTAAATTACTAAACTTAAAAAAATAAAAATAACCACTACAGTAGATAAGAAACAATTATAATCAATACACTCATTAATCCATACATGTGGTTATTTTCAAAGTATGGAAAAGTATTTCTATTAAGCTATAATGTCACAGAATATCCCATACTTGTTAAATGACACATAATAACAATATGTGAAGGCATATTCCAATCAGAAGGTAGACTACAAAGATTGAACACTATTACTTACCATTGTTCTCTGGACATTACATTTGAATCAGATGTTATTAATAGAATACAATGTTTTCTGTAGACATATAATATGTTGACCTGCCATCACGCATTATCACCCTAATTTGAAGGACCCTATCAACTATTCTCAGAGCTAAGACTAGACCAAAGAAATAAATAAAGGTAATGTTCCTTTGGGACAATGGGTGGAACATGAAAGTTATCTAGTTTCATTTAAATATTGTGTCACACATCTTACTGTTCGAGGAAGGATCTCTGAATGAACCTGGAGCTCACCATTTTGGCTAGACTGGTTGACCCCCAAGCTCCTTGGAGGAAACTACCTCTGTCTCCCACCTTAGTATTGTGGATAAAGGCATGCCTAAAGTCTAGATATTGATGTGGGTGCTAAGACCCAAACTCAAATTCTCATGCTTGCAAAGCAAGCACTTTACCTGCTGAGCCATCTCCCCAACCCCCCAGATATGTAAATTCTCAAAACCCACTGTGAACCTTCCAAATTAGAAGCACTGGAGGCGGGGTCTTCGATGATCTGTATTTCAACAAGCTCCTTTGGAGATATGAGAACCAGTGGTCTAGTGCAAAGTATTCTGTAACTTCCACCTCTCAAAGCTAACTGGAGCAGAAGGCATGAAGAGGAAGCAGCGCCGAAAATCTCTGGAAAGTTGTTGGTAAGTGTGTTTGATTTTCTTTTAAACAAGTCAGTTGGTACTTCTGTGATGTCTGGTGCTTGAAGTCCCAGCTTTTTTATTACCAAAGTAGTTGAAGTAGTGCTTATTATTCATTTGTTCATCCAGATGACCATATATTTATTCATTCTACAAATACTTGTGCATCACTTATATTAGGCATTTTTGGAGAATGCATATACAATGGTTAGAACAAACCATAGATAAATATCCTGGGCTGAATGTAGTTAAAAACACTAGAGGTGGTAATATCAACAACCTAATAAAACTTTGTTGTAAGAATTACAAAACAATATTCTGGGACACAACAATATATGTGTGTCAGGGAGTTTCAGCTAAACAAGCATCAGGGACCACCTGTCTGAAGAAGTGATATTTAGCCTAGACTGAAGGATGAACTGAATGAGCATTAACCAAGAAGAATGACAGAGACAAATCTCACTGTGCTAAAAGGAACTAAAAGGAACAAATGCAGTGAGAGAGCAAGGACAAAGGAAAAGTTGTCTAGTTTGACACCAGGACTTGGTTGCTGAACACACTGAACACATCGGCTGCAGGATATAGGGAGATCGAGATAGAGCTGAGTGGGAATTTTCCTTCCTCCTGGCTAGCCTTCATAAGACCAGGAGTTGCTACACAGCATGCCGGGGGAAGAAAATCACCCACAATTTTGCCCAGCTCTGAGTCCTAGGAGGTACAATAATGACCTACCAGGCAAGCTATGCTTTGTGGCGCAGCAGTGGCTTGGCTCTTACGTTATGGTTTGAGATTGAATTTCTATAGGTTGATAGAAACCAAATGAAGCCTGGGAAATCATGGAGCACAGGGCAAGCTCCAGTCAAAAATGTTCCCAGTGGATGCAGTGAGCACTGGAGCAGAGGCTATGGAAACAGGCAGGAGTCCACTGCCAGAGTCCAAATAAGCATTCAAAAGGCTGCACTAGAGTAGAAGGCAGAGCAGCGACTTAAACAGCAGAGACCCCATATCTATGGACAGTCGACGTTTTCTGGAATCACTTCCAAGTGTTTCGGACTCAAAGAGAGCTGCTGGACTTACCAAGTAGATAATGAAGAGATATTCACCTCAGTGGTCTTTCCCAGTGACCTTAGGGAAGTCCTTGATCCAAAATAGCTCGTCCTATACCACCAAGCAACTCTTACCTCTGAGACTCTTTTTCCTAAGTATTGCCCTCTCATTGTTCTTTTAAACTGAAACTCCCCTGAGAAATTAAAGCTCTGAACTCTCTGTGAGAATGTTGAGCATGTCAGTTCTCTCCTGACAGAAGCAGGTAACAAGGTTCCATGGTTACAAGGCTAAACTAACACTGTGCTGTGACCCTGGTTTCCCTCTAACCCAGGTCAGGACAGGGATGTGATGTGACTGACACTTCTTACCCCACACATGGCCCCTGGTGACTGCAAGTTGACACTTTCACCAGCCCTCCTCCCAGGGTGTCCCGTCATCTCTCTTGAGGAGCTGACAGCACCTTGGCATTACTGACAGTTGACTCATTTCCAGGCACAAAAATAAAAAAAAAAAATGGCTTCAATCTTCGCTTTTTGGAGTCTCACAGAGTACCTCCCCCGCTTCCTGCTCTTCTGACAACTTCACTCTAGCAGTGCTTTATGTAAAAACCAGTCTAATTATGCCAGATAGGGTTCACCACCAATAGAGTTCAGTCTCCATTACAGATGCCGATATGACTCTTCTTCTCCATTGTCCTGCTTATTCATGTGAAGCACCAATATGACCTGTCACTTAAGTCAGGAGAGGTACAAATTCATACTCTGCCAACTTGTATGCATTTCTGCCAGTCTGTTATCTGTTTCCGTCCTTCTTATGCTTGGACATCATTCCAGTGCTCAAGGCTATGCCATCATGGCTATATTCTAGAATATCAAAAAGTCTTCTATATCCTCATTTCCATTCCAGATCCTTCCAGAGGCCTCAAAGCAATGACTCTACTATACAGATCATCCACAAAAACTAATTTTAACCCTTTCACACTAACCTACTGACCTTGGATGACAACTCCAACTTGGATTTAAAGTTCAATCTAAAAGCTTCTTGTTTTTTTTGACTCTAGACCACCTCTCTCAGGATCCTTGGAAAATCATGCTTTCCACCCGCTGCACCTCTTTGTTCGTCCTTGCATAAAATATCTAGTTTTGCTTTGTTCAATAACATTTGCTTCCTTATTCTTTAGGGATCATCTCATATCCATGAAAATTATTATGGCATATCATTCTCAAAAGGATTAAAGGGTCATTGTGAGGCTCAAAGATTCTGTGCTCCCTTCCACTTGCCTGGACCTCACTTACATACTGGATCCTTGTCTTCTGTCCCATTGGGCTATGAATTGAGGTCTTAAGTGACTGTATGCCCAAAGACACAGCCAGCACAAGATGATAAACAATGGGACCCATTTTCAGTCCTGGATCTCAGCTGTGCTGTTGGCTTTCATGTGATATTGCATGCCATGCCTCAGGACCTTCTGTCATGATATTCATTTTAGTGTCTGTCACCCCAGTGCATCTTTATTGCACACCACTAAGGCAATCATTTTAACTAATTCTGTGGAAAAGAAAATTGAGCATGAGAGAGGCAGATAATTCGATTGTTTTTATGTAACTAGTAGAAGGCAGAGTGATACTTTTTGACTGATTTCTACATTCAGCCAATATGAAATGGTTACAACTGTAGACCTGGGCCATGAAAGATTAAAAAGAATAAAATAAAACTGAAGCAAATGGGAAGGAGGTTATTCCAAGCAAAACAAGGAATGTGTGCCTAATTATTAAAAAGCGCAGAGCTTTGCAGAAGGGTAAGAGGTAAGAAGTAGTCATAGTCCTGCAGAATCTTGATCAATCTCTAGTTGTGTGATTCCAGCTGTCTGACTCAGTTTCTGGATGTTCGCAATGAAAACAGTGAAAGACAAAGGCTCTCAGGTTGACTTAAAGATCCAAAATTTACAGAGAGACAAATACATAAATATAGATATGTAGGTAAAGATATAAATAAAAATAAATAAATAACAGCCCCAAGAGCATTCTGTGACTAGTAGCTGTAGCTCAGTGTTCAGTGGGTAGTTCTTGCTATTCCATTGACTGTTGATATGAAACCAACTGCTCCAGGAATAGAACAGTTAGCGAACATTTTTGTCCAGATAAAAGAAGAGGTAAGTAGGAGGTGTGTTTTTGACCTGTGGAGCATTAACTCAAGCATCCAATTCCAAGATCAGCTCTTCACTCATCTCCTGCTTGAACTTGGATGTCACTTGTGTAGGGGAACGACGGATGCTCCCTGTCATTCAGATGCCTAGGCTCCGGCAACTGAGCAGAGCGCTTCCCAGACCACCCAGTGCAACCTTCTATGCAGTGTGGACTCTTTCATAGTAAGGGCTTGTTTTTCAGAGGACAAAGAGCCCTGTGTAAAAGGCACAGGCTTCTTTTGAGATACCCCTCTGCAGTTGCAGAAAGTAAGTTCTGACACAGTATTTTGGTCAAATAACTCACAGTGTTCAGCACATATTCAAAAGGATGTGGGTAGATCCAGTCTTTCAATTGCAAGGCATAAAATTTTTACATCTGTCTTTATAAAAATATTACTAGTGGTTCTCCTAGTACCACAATGACACTTGGAAGCAACAGTAGCGTACATTCCACTGCAATAATCATAGAAAGAATACACGAAAAGCTGACTGAGAGATAAGCCATTGAGAAACTGTCACTGATGTGGCAGGGTAGGAACACCCACAGTCTCATCTCTCCATTGTACTTTCAAAGCCAGACAGAATAAAGCAAATGATTTCCCAACTCCAGGTGCCATGTGTATAAATCAGGACATCAGGAGCTCACTGTGAAAAGGTGCTGGAAGAGCCAGGAGCACCCCGGGACTTTTTTTCTGACACACCTGAAATGAGGCTCTGACTTCCTCCTGTCATTCTGTCCCTTACCAGAGAGGTCATGCTAAGTCACTTTTTTCTAAACTGTGAAGATAAGAGGATGAAAGTTCTTAGCTGCTTTGGCCATCATGAGTCATAGTTATTCATGGGGTGCAAGGGAGGGTGCTAAAGAGGATGTAAGAGTAAAGCAGGTGCTATACATGAAAAGACAATGTCCAACAGAATACAGTTCACATTGCTTTCTTTTCTGACTGCTCATTTTCTCTTCCTTCCTTCTTTCCTTCCTTCCTCCCTTCCTCCCTTTCTTCCTTTCTTTCTTTTTTCACCCATGTGAGTTATTGTCACCACAAATGTATATGGTCTTCCCTCCCCCCACACCTCCTTTGGTTCACTGATCTGGTTAAAGACAAAAAAAAATTCAATGCTTTATAGTTGACCTCTTTTCACTTGATAATTCTCTTAATGTTTCTTTTATATTCCTATAACCTAAGAAAGGACTAAATATTGTTTTCTCTTGTCTTTCATTATTTTATTTTAATTCCTGATACCATCAACATTATACAAAATTAAATATACATAAATGCCCATTCATAGACACATTTTCACTGACACAGTTAAACACACCTCATTGTTAACCTTGTTTCATTTTGCTAATACACTATACAATCCCTTTAATTTTCAGTATGAATGTATATTTTGCATCTGTATCATTCATTGGCATGTACACAAATATATATAAATACACAGAATCTTCCCTCTAAAAATGTATTTAAAATTATTCAACAATTCTGTGCAAAATAAACATACTTCCCAAAACACAGAGATTCCCTCAATTCATAAATGTTTATTTTCAAATCTTTGTTTAAATCATCAGTCCCAGATTGACAACACAAATATACTTTCATGAAGATCAGCATATCTTCAGATCCCTTACATGAAAAATAGAAATGCCAAAAAATTATGCACAAATACAAAAGAAGGGTCTGGGATGATGGCTCAGTAGGTAAGAACACTTGTTCTGCAAGCATGAGTACCTGAGTTCAAATCCCCAGGACCCATGTAAAGCTAATGCCTTTCA